TATTATATTTATTTATTTTCAATAGAAAAAAACATTTTTAAAAAATTTCGGAAATCCGCACCTTACCCAAAATTACTGCAAAAATTGTTGTACCTACAGTGTATATGTATTTCGCATAATATGTTTTTGAAAATTAATTATCAATCATTAATAATCTAAATAAAATATTTCGACAATGTTCGTTTTGTACTATTCATTCGAATCCACGGTATCCATAATATTTTGTTTTTAAACATCGACGATATTGGTAGGTACCTACCTAAATAATATCTATAGGTAATGAGGAGTTCTGAGAATATAAGAGCTTTATAATTGCACAATTATTATAATAACATTGTGTCCGGCGTCTGATTCAAACTATTGGCTTTACTTGTTCATAAATTCGTTTTCTCTGTTCCGCAGTGAAGTTATGCAGCTGCGGTTCCGAACACCAATGAGGGGGAACGTCGGACATGAACAGTTGGTTGAACGCTCCGAAGCCGCACGGTATACATGCGGGCAGACAGACGAGCCACAACAATAACTTTTGATAGCGACCAAACTCTCCGATGATTGGCAAGACTTCGTCCAAGTCCACTTCATTCTAGAACACAAATCGACATGAACATCAATTCGTATCATGAACACAATATCATATTAGATGCATTTCTGTAGAAATAGTCTAAAAATCAATTCCATAGAACATAATTTACTATAAAACATTTTAATATCGCATTTCTTTTCGGCTAATAAAAATACTTGTGGAAATGTTTTCAATTTTAAATGCAAAAGCCAAAAATGTAGGTGTATTAAGGCATATCTGTATATGATATTTGTATGATCGCGTCACGACATTGGCGAGTGCGTCATAATTTCGTATTCAATTGAGATGGGGCTATATATATCACATTCTACAAAAAAAAAACTCTGTCATTATTCAACTAACCAGAACTTTTATGGTAAAAAAATATTTATGAATTCTCACAGAAAAAAAACTTTATAACCATGTAATCATCATTGTTATAAGTCGCCAAGTCGGTACATATATAAAATATATTATAGTAAAATGCATTACATTTTACCATAATTCTATCTTGAAATTTGATGCAAATGAAATATTGTAATACAAATATAAAGACTATCACTTATAATTACAATTGGTATTAAAATTCTAGGCAAACGAAAGTCTCAAACTGTACAGGAAACTGGTCGTAATTTATAAATAAATCTTCTAATAATTCTAAATTAAATATCAAGTATTATTAATTACGATTATTTTTTATTATCGTTTATTCAATATTCTATTGAAATCCTGAAAATTATTTGGTTCTATAGTTTTTTGCAGTATACCTACATTTATGTAAAATATATGGACATTGGACACCTATGTTATTTTAAATATTTTACCGAATTGTTCTCATAATAAAAAATTATATGGTACTTTTAAATACTTTTCTTATAATAATCCAAAACATTTTTCCTAAAACAAATATGTTTAATTTAAAACCAATAACTTCATTGTGGATGTGATTAATACCAAACTATAATAATTACTTTAAATCGATAACTACCATGTTAATTAAAACAGTTTTGTCCTCATTAATAATAATTGTAGGGATTTTACTTAAATGGAACAGAGAATGGGCTATTCACATGTAGATTTTTGGCACGCAACTCCAAATTCAATGGAATTTAGGCCAAAAACAAGTCGCTAAACAAATTTAAATGTTTAAAAAAACACATGTTTTTTTTCAACACCATTAACAATATTGTGTGTATATTACAATGTAAGATGTATACCTATTTGTTTAAAACAAAATCAATTCTTAATTCACCATCAATAAACCCTAAATGAAATATCGTTTACATTTTTTTTCTTATCATGAGTTGTTTAAACTAGTAAATAACGTAAACATAATATTTCATGAAATACAATGATTTTTTTTAAAGAATGAAAAAAATTCGAGATCACCGTACGATTTATACGACGAGTTATCGTTACATTAAATATAATACATAAACAATGATTGATTCATAACTAGTACAAACTAATAGATTTATTTATAACTAAACAAATGTATGGCTATATCTGTAGGAATAAACTCCATATAATTTACTTACTCTTTTTACATAATAAAATTAAAAAATAAAAATAAAAACAATGAGGTAGCTTTTGGTATAAACATAAAAGAACATAATAACAAACTATTACGGTTGTATATTATACAGCATAATATAATATAATTTACAACTTTACAACGAGCTATAAAAAAAAAACTCAAACCGCAATGTTTATATAAGTCAAAACAATTTTGATTAATTGTCAGCATGTGTATCGAGTTTACAGATATTAACAGAATACATTTTAAGAATATGGCGAAGAAAATTTTAATGAATGTGTATATAAATTTGCCTATACTATTCGCCGTTCGTATTCCCTAATCGCACGTATATCGAAAATATTATTATTTATGTACAATTTAATCAACGACTCTATAATATTGAAATGTTCGAGAGATATAATTTTTATTTCTGTTTTACTTACAATTTTCTTTTTTTTTTCTGAATCACTGTTATCCATGACGAACACCACAACGGACTACGACGTCGAACGACATATCATAATTAAATTAATTCTATTTAGCTTACATTGATTTTTTGTTTTGTTTTTTTTTTTAATTTTATCCGAAGACCTTCAACTATCACCAGTGCGTTATGCACATGCATACATACATACATACATACATACATTCATACATACATACATACATACATACATATATACATACATACATAGTACATACATATATACATACACATACATATATACATACACACATACGTACATACACATACACGATACACACATAAAACTAAATGAGTGAATGAAATGACCGTAAATAGGAAATCTACAGGACAAACAAAGGAATAATATATCGATCGTATATGTATAACCATTTTATCAGTTTAATAATGGAGCACAGCAATAACTATAAAAAAATCCATCACCGGTTCTGAGTTTCAATCATATACCTATATGTGGTCAAGTATCAAAATTATATGTTATACGGTAAGTATTTCCATGTTTTTACATTATTTAAATTATACTTTAATATACCTGGAAACAGTACCAACATGTATAATCAGTACGTGTAAACAGTCAACTAAATACAGAGTACTATTCAAAAAGCCCTCGGAGGTTTAATAGTTTCGCATGATCTAGTAAAAATTAAAATTCATAACATACACGCCGTTAATGGCGAGTGAAGGTATAAATACACTGTTCTAATATCGTAGACTTAAAGGCATTAGGGTTCATTGAAATGTGTTACCTTTACGGTGTACACCCCGCAACATATTATAATATATATTTATTATTTATATACATGCATGACGATTATATGTATAAGTAGTAGGTACACTGAGTATATATAGATGAAACGCTGTAGTTAGATTTTATTATAGTGCAGCTGTAACAAAACTATAATATTATTTGGGTCGTAATAATAACTATTCAAGTATAATTGAACATGTTGTTCCAATACCTAATAAATACAAATAATAATATAAACGTAGGCTCGAGCGGACTCGGTTATTTTTCTCGAAAAATGAGGTATCGTTTTCCTCGGCTGTCCATTTTTCTCCACGGCAAGAGGTTAGATTCTATTTTCCTCAAAACATTTTTTTTGACTAAAATTATATCCACTTTCCCCCTAGTACGTTAAAATATTTAGTGGGTACCAGTGTTTTAGTATTATATGGCTATCATACAATAAAAGGAGAGTAAGTCTATGATCACACTTTCCATACGTTTTATTGGTTGCCCATTCAATTCTGGCAGCGAATCCACGATTTGTATATTAGTGTTATAGATTTGTTGGTTATTATATAATATAATTTAAAAATATATTTACTAATTTATTATATTCGTAACGCACTAACTCCTCGGTGGAGAAAAATTGCCAAGATCTATTTTTTAATTTGTTAATGGTATCTTATTATTACTGGAGGAAAATGGTTACTGCCAGATATTAAAATTCCTTTTAGGACACCTGTTAGGTATTTGTAAATACACCTTAATTACCGCCAAAAATAACGTTAACTTATGTGTTTTGCATCGGTGTGCTGTTATCACGATATAGACCTACTACCGGCTACCTGCACCGACTACTGTATTTACTTTTGCGTGAATTCGGTGTGCATGTGGAACGTAAGTAAATTGTTGTATTCATTATATGCATAATACACTTAATAATATTATATTATGTTTACAACAATTTCAGCACGGTCTATGGCTTAGGTACAACACGGAAAACCATTCTACAGTCGACACGATAATGGCTATACAATTAGTGACAATAATATAATAACTGTTTTTAAAAATAAAAAAAAACCCCGAACAATATACGGATGCGGTTTGCGGATTTCGTTTTTTGGAAAAAATAAGAAAACGGCTGCAGCCCGCACGTACAGGTGCCTACACGGCTACACCGAACATGTGGCACGCACACCTCGTACGACGATGATGATAATAATAATAATAACGGTGAGTATTAATATAGCTGGTAACTATAGTGTATTATAATAATCCTCCGAGAAAGGCGCACCGCTGGGCGTACCTAGCCATATACACGATGTTATATACGTACCTACTGTATACGCGACGGTTCGGTCGCTGTGACAATATACTATAATACACTACGCACCTCATAGCTATATAACATCATATGCTTACGAGCAGAGGAGAGAAAAAAAAATATGAAAAAAAAAAAAAATCAAAACTCACGCGAACGCTTTCACTTCTGTCGGGGCACACTGGCGATCAGATACGCCACCGCGGCAGCGGTATATTGGTAGGTGGTACAGGTTGGCGCGGCGGTGAGGAAATCGTAATAACAATAATAGTGATAGTAACACACTGTTATAACGCCAATACCGAAAACGCTATTATTTAATAATAATAATAATAATAATAGTAATAGTATAATGTGCATTATATTATGCGTTTCATAACGGCGACGGGTGCGGGACGTGTGCCCGTCGAGGCCGCTGCCGACCGGACTTCGGGATAGTGTGTGCTCCGACAACGCTTACGACCGGTCCGCGAGAGCCGAACAAAATGACCGAACGATATCACAATATTCGAATGGCCCGGCCACGAGATGCCATCGTGGTGCTCAACTTCATACTCGTGTACTTTGTCGTCGCCACCGTCTCTTCCGACGGTTTACCGGGCTTGACCGGGTCCAAGATCGAGATGACGCCGAACAACACGATCCAAGTGAGCCACAGCCGAAGACGGTTTATGATTTAACACATTATTTTGTCCGGTCTGCCGGTTGTCCGGTTGACTTTATAACGATTGTTTTCAGGAGTATATTTTTCGTCGACAGTAGTTTTAATGTAAAACGAACAAAAAAAAGAATTACGTTTATGTTATTCAAGTTCTTCGACAGTCGTAATTTCTGTTGCTCAAAGTCAAATACGATTTTCGTTTTTACAATTTTTTTAAAAAATGTTTTACTTTAGATTTCCAAACAGTATAAACGATTATCTTGAAATACTCAAAAGATTTTAAAATGTTATAATTTCTAAGTATTTTTTTACAAATATATAATATTGTTACATAGTATATACAGTTGTATTTTAAAACGATTCTCTTACGCCACAACAAATTATTGCATTATAATAATATCGTAATCATATTATTATTATTACATCATTTAAAATAGTTACTTTTTGCTCGACTTCAGCAGTTTACAAAGCGGAGTTGATTCAACTCATTGAAAATTAATACATATTTAACGGTTATATTTTATACCTGTTTTCAATTTTTGAACTCCTTATACGACACATTCTTACTCGACAAATTCTATACATTGATTTGAACATTAAACGAGAGGTTTCCAGTCCAATTAATTGAAAATGGCATATGAATTAAATCCGGGAAAATATAATAGGGATCTTAATTTGAACAGGTGCTGCACATTTGTACATTTTGTTGTATAATTTGTTGTATAATATTGAAGAGTAACATATGTTTATGCATAATATATTTATTGTTTACGTCCCAAGACCTAATGTATAACTTGGCGCGAAATCAAATATTTAAAAATTATATAGTGAAGGCTTTTACTCACTGAATATTTCGATAAAACATATATAATGAGTTGAAATTAATTTCAAGTGAATTGATTTTAAACGTACAAATCGATTACAAAAACACATAATGCAGTTCGAATAAAAAAATTTTAGCATGTCGACACAATTTTTAGGTGAAATATATTTGTTCAAAATACTATTAATTAATCTGAATGTTTTTGGATAGTATAAATAAGTAATAACACATAGAACACCTCCATGGCACTCAGATATGCTAACATAATAATGATTTAAGCTTATGGCATTATGTTTTCTTGTATAATTATTGTCGACTTTGAAATGCTAAATTGTTTTCTGGCTTGGCGCTCAATCAGCAAGTGCAATTGCAACTCTTTGCGTATAGTTTCATGTGAAATTAATATACGAATTTTTATTACGCTCTAAATCGCCGTAACCTCAAATTATGGGCTCGGATTCAAATCTTTACAAAAGCCCCTCTTTTCTTGGCCAAGAAAAGTCGTATTATTAAATTCATACGATATTTACATTTTGTACAAATCATTTTATATTCGAAAGAGAAGTATTAAATATAGTTAATGTGAAACATATTTTACTGATAATTTAATAATTTGGGAATTGTTGAGGATACAATTATATAAAGTACAAACGATATCTATGAATCGATTTTCTGGTATACCAAGTTTTGTATTTTTGTAATACTGTATAGTGTATAGTACCATATTACAAACGATGTATCTATATTGATTATGATATTAAAATATTATGATAAACCAATATCATAAAACAGTTTTTAAAACACATAATATTTAGTGTCTTATAAACATTTAAAACATTCAAAAGGATTGGAAGTATCTGGGGAGATGGTGAAAGGAACGATTTGTAGGGTGCAAAGCCACCTAGTTCATAATGAAAATGTTTAAATATCTGTAGACGGTAGAACATGATTTTTTTATTTTTTTTAATATAAGCAGTCCTATATTTATAGACAAAATATATTTACAAACATTTATTTATAACGTCAAACGTCTTTTAGTACAATATTATATGTCAAGTGTTAGTATTATAATGTTTACTGAATCGTCTGAATTCACACGCAAGTTATTTTTACCATTGGTAAATTAATATTAAAAAATAAAACGATTTTCACACGATAATACATTCGAGTATTAAAGACTTTTGACGTATAAAAATAACTATCAATTATAAAAAAAATTATGACGAAGTCTCATGATTAAATATTTTTAAATTTGAGTTATAATTTGGATATTACCGTACATAGTCTTTCATTTGATATGTAAGGTAGTAATATACTGAGTTTTGACCTTCACTCTAACAGCCTTTATTATGCTCTACATATCGTATGGTACCTATAGTTAATTTTTTCGCCACTCTAGTAATTGTGATTTTGAAGTCTTATATTTTGTTGTAATATTCAATTTGTTATGGGGCAAAATATAGATAGGAACACCAAAGAATTTTCATTTTTTAAACAACACGGCAATTACCACAATGAAAACAAGACGTTAAGAGTGAACACATACGTAACTGAAACATAAATCCAGAAAATGAATCGATTCGTTAAGTATAACTAAATAGGTACCTATAGATAAGGTTGTGCAACATAATATTATTATTTACTATACATTTATCATATTGTAATAGACTGAACATTTTGCTGGACGAATGTCACGAAAAATGTTTGGAAGAACAAAATATTTTTTATAAACTATTGATGTCGTTCGTTTAAAATGCATTTACCTACAACTACAGTCTATGTGACTACATGTGCATAATAATATAATACATATTTTAATAATTATTTTATGTTATCTTACAATACACAAACATTACCAATGAAAACAATCGACATGAATCTATATAATGTGTTAATCATTATAATATTATTATTTTAGTACTTGCAATTTGAAGATTTATCATTCAATCTTACGGATTTTACGATCTGCACGTGGATAAAAATGTTGAATTTCACACACACGCAAACCATAATCCGACTTACAGGTAAACCATATACGAATACCAGGTATACCCTTTAAAAGTCCTGAGCCCGAACCGAACCCGATCAAATTTAGTCTCCCAACTCATGAAATATTTCCCATGTAATGTCGATTTCGATATTTCGAAATTTGATTCTGGAAGTGTTAATTATCGTCAAGCGTGTAATGAATATATCCACGTTTAAATGTCTACTTTCAGGAAACAAAAAAGAGACGCTGGTGTTGTGGCGGATGCACGTTCACCCCAAAGAAACTATGAGAGTGACGATCAAAAACCGACTGGTGGCCTCGGAGAGCATGCAACTGACCAAGGGACAGTGGCACCATGTGTGCTTCCAGTGGAAGGGTTTGACCGGCGTCTGGGCAACGTTTGTCAACGCCAAAATCCATTCGGTCGGACAAATACCTGTCGTCGGCAATGACGTAAGTGATAATCACCTGAATAATCATAAACTTACAGCTTAGATTTAAATATTTTATGCACTATAAAAATCAGCTTAAAATTAGATTATAATATATGCAAATGACGCATGATATAAAATGTTTATAATATGATCGATAAAATATACAATCAAATGGTCTTTATTAAAAAAGTAAAGGATAAAGTCAATACATAATATGCCCGTATACCATAAGTATAATTAGTAACATTAGCTAAACCTATTGTAGTAATGCACTTATGCACGGGCCTATATATAAATTATACAATACGCATTAATTGCATTTTGAACTTTGTTGGAAAATATTTATCTTAATGTAACCTATTGAAAAATTGAAATATGCAATGAATTCCAAAATCACATGAAACTAAAAATATTAAAAATATATGAATGCATTTAAAATACACTAAGGCAAATTCATAAATATCCTACGAAGCATTATTATAATTCATAATATTAGTACCAACTTAATAATATGGCATGCAGTATTATTTCTTTATATAATTACGGTTTTGCTGAAAAGATAACTGTAAAGACTGAATCGTCTCAATCTGTCACAGCTTACATTTTATAAAAATTATACTAGCTAAGGCCCAAATATATGAATATAATATGAAATTGTATTTAACTCAATACTGAAGACAGATGAAATAAGTAAATATTGTGTTTGTAGTTAAATATGTATAATCTCTATTATTCCACAATTTAAATGATGGTATCAAAATTAAATGCATACCAAGCACACACACATATTGAAAAAAAAACAAAATTAAAAAGTTTGGCCTAATGTGGCGTGGTATCTGGCCTCATTCACAAATATGTTCTGAGGTCAAGTATCAGTCAGTGTCGTCACTAGTTACCGGATGGGTGACCGACCGGGGTGTTTTAGAGACAAACCCTGGCTACGTGAATACATGTTTTAACTGACCATACCCTCCCTCACAGTTAAAAACCCTAGGCACTAAAATAACCTTCATTCAAATGACCATAGATATCGAAGCCTCAACTCAATAAATCTCAATTAAAAATAAAAATATTTTAAAGAACTACATGAAAGTGTTGGTGGTGTTTTTTTTTATAAAATATTGTAAACGTTAAAAGAAATTTGCATGTATTTTGTGTAATGGTAAAATTGTATATTATTGTGACAACAAACTTTTTAAAATTGTATTATAAAGGCAATAACTTGATTAATTGTACTAAAAATTGACGAATATTGTAAACTAATCTTCTAAATTAATTAGAAAAAGATATTTAAAAAAACAAAATGGAAAATTCAATAACATCCGTGCTCCCTGTAAAATATGTATATAAAAATTAAATATATTCGTACTCGCGGGGCCCGTTATAACCTGTTAAGCACGATATTTTAAAAACCATTTGTCAGATTAAAATATATAATTAGGCGCACACGAGAGAGTTCCATTCGGTTTTTTTTCTGTTTTTATTTTTTTCAACCTTCGTGACGCAAACCTCTGGTGTGCCGGGGCTATACCGGAATGCTTGACGCCATGCCAAGAAGACGAATCGGATTAGATAAAAGAAGTATTTTCACCCAATGAAGCCAACATTTTACGGCCGACGACGCCCACGTGCTCCTCTTTTTGCTTCTTCTCCGTTTTAAACACTAAATTAATGACACCGATCGAAATCCTCAATCGCCATATTGTATAATGCATACCTAATAACCGATAACAATTTATAAAGAACTCAAAAACAATATATAGAACTTCATAATTTATAAGTTTAAAGGTCTCGGATGTATATGCATTAAAAAATCAAGGAATATGTTCATGTGTTTATACATCAAAAATGACCAGTAAATATAGGCAGGTATGTGGTAAAATTATGCTCGTCAAAATCACTCGAAACCCTGTTTAAAAAATAAACTATGATTTTGTTTTTGGTTTTATTTTTAAATTAATATAACACGTGTTACAGCAGTGTTTGTTTATTAATTGAGTATTGTATAACCATTTATAATTTCTAAAAAAAATATAGTAAAATTCAAAAAATAAAGAATATGATTTAAAATAATAATTGTGTGGGCAGACTTTTAATTTATCTTTTTTGCTTCTACTAAATTGGCAGTCTTTATTAAATTAAAATTGTGTTGTTTTATTAAGTCTTTATTTTTATTTTCTTGAAATCGTAAGTAAAGGTTTTACTTAAGTTATAATATAATAGTGCATTAGTGCGAAACGGAACAAAAAGACCGAATATGATCTTAAAACTGTAAAGTATGCTTAAAGACAGTAAAAAAATGTCGAAATGGGCTCTAAAATAATTCTTATTTTTTAATGACATTTAATGAAACATATTTTGCGCTTAGTTAGCAATACAGTACAATTGACCTAAAAAATATGCAAATGCATACAAATCCAGGCAATACTTATAAAAGTTAATCGTACCTATATCTATATAGTAGCGTAATTAAAAATGAAAAACATATTTTAATGATTACTATACATATTATAAGCATTAGACATAGGTATAGCCTATACATATATAACTTGTGTATTACCTATAATATCACTGTACGTTAACCTTATTGAAATTGAAGTCACATAAAATCATACATCACTTATTATTTGACGGCTCCGTTCTGATACACTGATAAATTTCAAATTAATGCAATTTACGACTTTTTTAAAGTATTTTCTTCTATAAATGTTCATAAAATATCTGTTTGACGACCAAAAAGCTTGACAATTCAATGCAATATCCTTATACGTTTGTATTAATGAAAACGAAACAAAGTTGTTCATAAATTCACATTAATTTTCATGAGGGTTTGAACATTTTGACAAAAGTCGTCTCTAAATCATTAATTATATATGTTTGTTATTTAAAATTCATAATGTTTAAAATTTTAATATCTGAAACTCAAAAATGTAGTACAAACTTTTGAATGAGTTGTATATAAAGCTATTTAAAAATATCGAAAATATATTGGCACAGTTTTATTTTATGAACGTTTGAAGTTCAAATTACGACAAAATGAATATTTGAACAAAAAATACAAATTGTATGTATTTAGTTGAAAGTTATTCAAAAAATACTATTCCTATAGGGATTTGAACCACGTTCAAATCGTTCTACAGACTTATGAGTTAAAAACAACTAGTAATATTATATGAAATAATATAATATATAGGTAATAGCTATGTGCCTAGTTTTTGAGAAAAATAATTTTTCTTCTGAACTTCATCTACCATAAAAAAAAATACTAATTCACCGTCTCCACTCAGAATCATTTTTCGTATTAAAATCATACCAAATCAATGACTTGGACATTTCGACATATACTAAAACAGTGCAGAGTGACCAAATATAACTATACCCTGTTTTTTTTCCAATTATTAAACACTTATTATATTATATTATATTTTTAAAACTCTTTTGTGTAATGGAAATATGTGTTCCGTCGAGATTTTACAGAATAATATTATAAGTATAGGTAAAACGCCATCTTATAACATCGACCATTGTAGTTATTAATTTTATTATCATATTGCTTTCATGCTCGGGGACATGATAATAATAATTTGACAAGTGTAAAAGCGTTCACCGACTTCATCGCACAAATCGATTCAAAAATGTGTCAAAACGAATACACGTCACTCATAAAGAACGACATTTAATGTGGCATTTGAAAACCCATTCATTTATTCAATACCGATTACATCGACTCACACAAAATGTACACAATAGTTCAAAATAACAAGAACATTTTTAAAGTTTTGTGTTTTTCATTAAAAACAACCACATTTTATTATTTTTGGAACGTTGTTTAGGTCAATGGTTTTGAGGATGAGCCACGTTAGTGGAAATCAATCCTTAAGCGTCCATTGATCGTTATTATGACTAATATTTTAATAGAATAACATTTTTTTGGTGTTTTAAAATGTTTTAAAATGTAACTAATAATTTCTCAAGTAGAAAATGTCCTTTAGATTCTGATAGGTACTAACTGATATTAGTGTTATTTTCATTTTGTATTTTTCGATAAACTTGATCAAGTTAATTTTTTATAGGGCTCTGTTAACAAATCGTTTAACATAAATTATTGAACAAAACATCTAAACGTATCTTTGTAATAAATAAGCGTTAACAACAAAAGGCTATCAACATAGTGGTGAACTCAAGTGTTACCTATAATAAGTATGCAACACTCGTCAACTGGTGTTCTCATATCTACAGATACATAAAAAATTTTAAATTTTAAATTAAGAAGTCAGAAAACCTATAACTTATTATTGAAGTACCTATTGTGAAAAAAATTAATTTGAAATATAATTTGTTGTAAAGTTTTAGAAAAAAATTGTTAACACATTTTTGAGATTTTTAAGTCATTATCAAATTATTTATATTCATTCGAGAACTTATCATAACACGTTCGATATTCTAGGAGTTGAACTTTTGAACTTACTATTAAATTGTTTTATTTTTAAATTGTTGTGAAGCTATGAATGTTTCTACGACTAGGTAGTTAAATACAATTTTTATTTCAAATTTTATAAGTTATATATTATTGTCTGCATTTTAATACTTACGTAAGAAATGTAAAGAACGCATTATCAACATTTAGGCGATCGTTTAAGTGGTAAAGTACTATAAGCTATGACAATTAAAAATTCACAATAGGTAATTGTCCAACACATTTTCAATAATTAAAATATTAGCACACTTGAAGCATAATTTTAACAAATACTAACAACAATTGTGAATGGAGTGTAAAATAAACCTACACACAATGAATACATATACACATGCACGATGCACATAAAAATCAGTAGATAATTTAGCTTTTACAGAAATTGCTGAACAACTAAATGTTATTTACTTTGGCAATTAAGATAACACTAGTGTGTAACTAAATTGACTTAATAAATCAACAATACATACTATTATAGGCAGTTTTAAAATGGTAAAAAAAAAGTCCGAGATTTAAATTGGCTTGGTAGACGATTTTGAAAGTGATGATGTTGGTTTATTAGTTTATGTGTATAGTTACAACAACACATTTTATTTACAGCGAAATTGCAATCAGTTAATTATCAGCAAATTGTATTTTGGTTTTTAGACATTATATTAAAAAGCTATTACGTCAGAACATTATTATTTAATTAAAACGACGAAATTAGAAATACAATACAACTAATAAGTTATATTTGTATATTACAATAAATATATTTACAATTAATTACATTAGGTAACTACTTGTTAGGTATGTTATGGTGTGTATTATGTTTACATTCAATGTGTGTTCACGATGTCAACAAATAGGAATCCACCAACTCCATGAATAGTGTACAAAATCGCTATGGATATCCACTTTATGAAAATAACGATTTCATTCAGTCTACCACATACATATAAATATATAAAAATTTAATTTAAATGTGTACACCAAATATTAGTTGAAACACTCAATAGTAAAAATTTGTTAACGGTATCTATTCTTAATATTTTAACATATACCTAACAGTAAATGTAAAATATGGTATGATAGCCAGTTTTTACTGGTATAAATAAATTATATAAATCAATAACATTGAATATACAAGAAGATTTTATAAAGAAATATCACAATAATGTATATGGTTTAGGAGAGTAGGTATATACAGATATTGTATTATTGTGTATTTTATTAATATATCTTTACGTCTTCTAATATTTACACGTTATTTAGACACAAACAAACAAAAACAAAAAATGATAAATATATAAAACAATCTTTTAGCCACGGTTTTCATCAACAAAAATACCTACTCGACGTAGGTACCCATAATCGAGAGCATCGCTTAGGAATATTTGGCATGTACCCATGTGTCACCTACGTCGTTGTCAGTTGTAAATTATAAATGACTATTACCCGCTTTTAGTTAATGGATTTTTATTTTGTTATAATGATAACATATATATGTCGATTTTAAATGTATTACTATTAGTACCATCTCATAATAACACAATATACCTACAATGTTTTGTGTTAGTATTTACAAAAAACAGTTTGTTTTTTTTCACTAAGCAAAACTAAAACATAGTAATAATTAGTGTTTTTGTAATTATTAATTTTTTTTTTTTATATCAATAGCCAATAATAGATAGTAATAAATATTATTTAAATATCGACTTTTTACTTAAGTACAAGATATATATTAGTAAATTGTTTTACTGCTATGTATAAATAATATTGCAGGAATTTAAATAATTTAAATAATATTAATGCGCAATAAAAATATGAAAACAATTTCTATAGGAATTTTACATCATCTTTACCATAGTATATATCTAAAATAAAGGTTTAACAGTATAATAATGATTAACACTATAAAATTATTAATTTCAAAATGACTTTTGAATATATATAAAAGGTAGTTATCAATCCAATTCGAGGAGTAGTAGTGTTCACACAGATCCTCCTCTGCTGTCGGTTCAAACGAAAAAAAAGGTATCAATCCAATTCGTTTTCAGAAAATGTCAATTCAAATTTAAAATTTTATATTTTGTGTATTATCTATAAAATTTTTGATATACCGACGAGTATATTGTATATTTGTATACTTTTTGCATGTTAAATAGTCGGTAAGTAAGGTTAATTTACACACAATCGATATTTTTTATTAATAAATAACCAATCCGCTAATGGAAAATTTTAACAACTTAAAAAATGTAATAGGTACTTATAAATTATAATAGATATAATATTTTATGCTTTAACTTTTTTTTTATCATTTAACATTTTCTATACTTCTATGGTTCTATAATGATACATAAATAAATATTTATTATACTTACAGAAAACATTATAAATTAATTCTTTAATATAGACAACTAAAGTCTGGTGATCATGCATGTCAAAAAATATATAGTACCTACGTTTTCTTCCAAAAAAACTATTTTTCAGTGAATGTCGATTTAAAATAGAGCCTAATTATTAATGCAGACTTTGAAATTTCATTTTTGTATTTCTTCGTTTCTTTGATTACTAGTTTCTTGGTTAAAGCACATATGAAAACTCTACAAAGAGAAGGTTTAAAAAAAATCTAACCCGATTTTTAACCATGCTCTAATCAGAACCATTTTTTGAGTGATGTAATAGTTTATCATTATGTATAACTTCCAAATTCTATAGCACAGCAAAAAATATATAACACACCCACTCCACTACTCTCGCAGGAACCCACACGTGTGACCAGCTGTACTAGGTCTTTTTTAATTTGTTTATCTTATCGACATAAATACAGCATACTAATTGTGTCACATATGGCTGTTCGTTTTAAATATTTAAATTTCTGGTTTTTAAAAAATATTACGTTACCATACAGTATACATACTGTCTGTAGGTACACATTCATAATAATAATGCAATAACATTATACATCATTAATTATAAAATGCGTAATCAAACTGTGTATTCAATGTGTATTATTTAAACTGTCAATAACTTTTACTACCTAGCTATTCAAATAATTCAGAGAGTTGATTGTTTTTTTAAGATTTAAAAACAATTGTTTTTGAATAAACCGAAAGATTTTTCTACCTTTAGATTCTATTATATTATTACCTATAGGGATGTAAACGCATGTTTTTCCTATTTTCAAGTTTACATTGTCCGTTAATAAAATTAATCAAAACGTACACAATGAGTTTTGCGTGGTTTTACTATGCGATGATGAATGTAATAATATGACGATAAATAATAGAATTCCATGGACAACAACAAAGGAGAACTAATAAACTCGTGAATACGTACTTGAGAGTTATACACTCATTTGACAGGTGTACGGAACGACACGTTCCAACATGTGTTTATCTCGTAACTTCATCATTCGCACTGCTATAGGTACATACCAATATACCATTAGGTATATGGCACTACTGGAACGACGTGGTGCAAATTTTTGTGACCCATTTGTTCCGGTTCGGTTTTGCTTTTATCTTTTTTCCTGTGTTTCTCTTTTTCTCTTTTGAAGAAAAAATAGTACGAGACTAACGTGTTTTGAGAAAAAGAGTACTCCTCAAACTTAGCTATGATTATCATTAGTTCATAAAGTGGCTGCTATCTTTAAAATAATAAGTGTTGCAGAGGAAATATCTGAGGGACCACAGTTCCTACCTCCGACAATGACTATATTTATTTAAAACTATAAAATTATATTATTTGGCGTTTAATAATTATTTATCATACAATGATTCATGTGAGTGTATGAGTCATTGTATATAATAAATAATTATTAATGACTAACTTCCAATCACCCACCAACCAAACGTCGAAATGTTATATCTATATTATATTGCTGAAGCAACACACAGGTCGTAGGATAACCAGCCATCACTGAGTTCATATGATATAATTCATAACGATTATGTGCAATAATTTGTTCAATTTATTATTTTCAATAAACTATTAAATATTTATATTTTTTGAATGAATTTTGGATAGTATATTATGTACAAACGATTTGCTCTGAAAATCATTAATATTTATTGTAATTTAACTCTAATATACGTGTAAAAAAGATACTATAGCTAGGAGTAACGAAAAACCCCAGGTGACTATAGTAACATTTTATCTACGTAATAAGTAATAATGTTTAAAAAAAAAATTATCGACATAATGGGGAACGAAAAAACACTTTTATTTTATTATTAAAAAGTGAACAATGAAAACTACAAGCAATAAAACGTAGTCGATAAAATTATATTATCCTTTCTTAACGTGCTTAATAGATGTTAGTTAATTCAATGTGATAATGTCATATTTTTAATATACTTTTAATGACCTGCTACAAACTTGGACAAAGTGACAGCCTTATCGTAAAATAATTTATGTGTATATACTATAATATATCGTAAATGTAGTTATAGGTATAGAGCCGTCATGGTATTGCAACTTAAAATTATAGGAGTATACTATATATACTTGAGTTCCAGAGGTACCTTTTGGGGATAATTTTCATCCCAAAAAAACAGTATAGTCTAATACGTAAGAATTACGTCCAGCATATTTATTGTAAAAGTAAACTTTTGCAAAGAATGCTCTTGCGTCTCACATTGAAAATAACGAGATTTAAATAATTTGGCATTAATTGTCATAAAATATTCTATTGTTAAATAAAAATTATTCGTCTTATGTTTTAGGTACGTGGATAAAAAATATTATTTTATTTAAATTGAAGTATTTGATTGACGTTCCGTGAATATACTTTTAAAAGTTCAGCATTCGAAGGTTCTTTTCACATTAAAATCATATTATCTATTAATAACAGCTAGCTTTAATGTCACACACTATATTATGCATAGACATTAGACAATAAAACGCTATGAAAAATAATAATAAAAGTATTATCCTTATTAAAAATTATAAAAACTGCAAATGTATGTACGCATATAATATAACATACAATGATAAAAACATTTGTACTTATTACATATTGAGCTCTCTGCAGAGGTGCCTATTGACACGGAAGCGGGGACTGTGGTGGTGGTGTATAACGGACTGCTAAAAAACCAAACAATTTTTTACACAAATGTTGGATCGTTTTCAGACGATGTCATCGAATGCGTGGACTCTGCACGGAAGTGGCATCGGAAGAGTGGGCGACGACAGCGTGCCCTGCCGGAACGGTTGGCAAGCGTATGGACTGTACTTGAGTGGAACGGTGGCGAAGGCAGTGGACGCGGCCAATGCGGCCGGCAAGCCGCTGACGAACGCGACCACCCCGTCCGGAAGGACAAAGAATAACAGCAAGCGGCAAGCGGTGTTCGACTCGGAATCGGACGACACGGGCTCTGGCGGCGCCGGGCAGTCCAAATCGTTTCAGTGGCTTACCAAGTCATTCGCATTCATAAAACGCATGTTCACGTTCGTCATCATACCGTTTTTCAAGTTTGTGCGAAACACGTTCTTCCAGACCCGTTCATTGGACGATACCGTGGTGGACGTGAGCGAAACGCACCTGACTGTCAGCGACGTCAAGTTCGAGCCACCGTCGTCTGTGGCCACGGCCACGGTGGCCGCCAGCGAGTCGACATCGGGCGACGAGAGTGAAAACAAAGTCAACCGGCGATCATCATCGTCGTCCAAGCGGGAAACGGACGACGACAGCCGCTGCGGTGGCACGCGGACCAACGACGATCGAGTGACGGCGGCCGATCTAGTGGCCGCAGGGTCGGCGCCGACGGTGGCCGTTGACGACGCGCTTTCGCCAAACGCCAAGCGGTACTTGCGGATGGTCAGCGACGGCCTGAACGACGTGGGCGTAAACGCGGCGTTCGTCAAGCGAGCGTTCGCGTGTTGCAGCCGCGGGCCATTCGATCCGCAAGCCGACGTCGTGGTCATCGACTGGGACCGGGCTAGGGCCCACGCGCACGACGTTAACGTGTCGCCACACGTCTGCGGACGGTATTGACCGCCTGCAGCTCGCGCCTCTTCGTTTTTCCACCGCGCCAGTATTTTTTTTCACCCTGTTTTCATCGTCCCGACGACGCGCCACGTCTGGTTATTATTATTGTTATTATTTTTTTTTTTTTATTGTTATTATGTATACGTCCCTGTAGATCGACTCTCTGGTCGTACGTATATAAAGGGTCCAAAAATCTGTCGGTCTTAAACAAACATTCACCTCCCCCCCCCTCACAACACACACACACAGTTATTATAGGGTAGGAGGGTCGGTTTATTGATAATCGATGGGTTTAGTGTAGGTATTTTATTATTATAGCGAAAAGAAACTACAGATTTCCCCCCTCCAAAGTCCACGAGATATTTCACATAACGTTTCTCACAAGGGTTATTCGATATGTTTACCCAGCTGTATATTACGGTATAATATGAACATGCAATCTTTGATCGAGTCACTTTTCATTTTCATTGATACTCTCATTTCGTTATATACACGTATAGTAAAAACATAAAAACACATTATTTTTTAAAAGATTTTATGTATTAATGATATTGTATTCTGATATAGGTACTTAATTCCATAACTAAACTTTCGATCCGACGTTACGTCTTACGTCTATCAAGAAGAGCTATAGTGAACGTACAATGATATTGGGTAACTCGTATAGGTACTAGTGCGACTTATATAATAGATATATTATATGAAAAATATTTTATTAGAAAGTATTCATAAATAATATTATTTTAAGTTTGAAATCGTCTTTAAAATAAGCACTTATTATTTATATATTCTATATTTAAATACTTTTTAATAATTTTATATTATATTACAAGACTGTCGGATCTAGGATAAACCAATGAATAGTACTATAAATGAAAAACACAATAATAACGTGTTTATCTATACACTCCTAAATAAACACTTAAACATAATATAGTTAAGTATAATAATCTTATTGCCACCTCTAAATCGCAAAATTATCACATTTTTATAATACGATATTTTATTGTATACCTAGTTATAACTTTAAAACAAAACGTTCTTACCAGTGGCGTTCCCAGCGGGTAGGCCTGGTAGTCCCGGGCTTCCGTTGTATTCAAATAGTTATTATTAATATTTTTCACAGCATTGACTGTACCTACATAAACAAAAATAATTAAAACCGGGCCTGTCCTAAATTTTGATCCTGGGCAAGCCTCTGATTCCTAGCTACTAATGAAAACTGCTATATATTATAATATGATAAAAGTAGGTGCACAAAAAGTAATAAAATATGTGTAAAACTTTAAACTTTCCGCCAATCGATATATACGTGACTATATATATTTATATGGCCGCCGTCGTGCGTATAACAGGTGCAACATGTTATAGTATATAATATGGTGAGGTTTGTGAATCTTTAAACGATTGTAAATGTGAAGTTGATAAGCATATAATAGATCTATAAGTACCCAGTTTTATAATTATAAAATAATTTCGTCGGTTTACTGTGTGTCATAATGCAGTAAATGCGAGTGAAAAATCCTAATAAATATATATAATAACACTTAAACCGTATCATTGGATCTTGCGAAATATTCCCGTCATAATATATTTGCTAATACAATTTATTTTAAGAGTTATACGCGATTTTCGTACCCGATGACAAAATTCAGTATAGCATGTGAACCAGTGGGAATAAATATTTTTCAGGTACATTAAATTATTTTACTAAGACCTGGTAGGTACTCAGTACATATCCAACACGCGGGCCGTATTTATTATTTTCTTCACAAGTTGAGATAATAATTTGTTTGGATAATTATTTTTTATTCAAGTTCACGCTATCACCGCAATAATAATAATTATAATATATGCGCGGTTTGCGAGTTGTTATCGTTAAATGATTATATTTTACATTTTCACCGTTAAACTTCGTCATTGTTCGTAGATGTTTATATTATGTTATTATGTTAATCGCGTATTATTTGTCGTCGATATCACAACTCGGCCGTCCACCGATGTTTAGTTTGTATGTTTTTTTTTTTTAAATACGATCACTCGTAGACTATTTTATCACATATATAATAATATTATATATGCCGTTTGTAACAAACGATTTGTTTAGTATATATGTACAGTAACAGTATAATAATAAATTGTACAGCTCCGTTATCGAAAAACGCTGCTCTTTGTGTTGTACTTTATTTCAAATGTTCTCATACACGTCAAAACATGCATATGTATATGATAATGATAAATATACATTATATACCTACAGCCGATATATTATATACGTGTAGGTATATATATGTCTGCCAGTGTTTGCTCTCCGAGCGAGGGGAATCGTCCGGCCGGGTGCGGGGCTTCCGTGAGTATAAGGTGTACTTTGGAGCCTCCACTTTTTTTTCTCGTCCACGTATTATTGTATGTATGTCAATATTGGCGTGGCACAATTATCGTTTTTGCGCTGGCAAACACTAACGATAAGACGTTTTTAAGACGTACACCTGTAGAACGTTTGAAACGCAATAATATAGCCAATATATAGGTACCTATATATACCCACAGTAACGCTAAGACGGATATAACGAATGACCATCACCCTGCAATGAGTCAGTTTCTCTCTGTAGTCCATAACATTTCTAAAATATGTTCAATATTTATGAAAACGACCTTAATATTAAAACTCAATTTTGGCAGTTCGCGTTAAAAATCTAATAACGACAGCATTGACCTGCGCAGTGCAGTGTGCAGTGGGAACTATAAAAAAACAAAAAAAATATTCTCAAATAATAACAAAATATGACATTTTCCAAAAAAAGTTTCTAATTGATGAACATTTTGACATTTACATCAATGCTTAAAAAGCCATGCATATAGTATATTAATTGTAGATACTAATTAGCTATTATTATTTTATCAAATAATATTATACATGGTTAACATAATATATAAATGTACCTTATCTAAGAACTAAATTCTTCTGTGTATGGTGTGCTTTTGTCTTTTGCAAAAAAGCACACATAACGGAAAAGAATGCTTCAGAGTGCTTAGAAGTCCTATGTTTAAAATAACCTCCACAAGCCATTTTGTTAAAATTTACTTGAAAATTGTAACCTGGATTTTAAGTTGTTATATATTTTACTCGCTTTAAAAGTTTAAATATTTAAGTACAACAAATTTGAGTTATCAAATCAAAAAATTAATCTTACATAAATTATTATGATTCATCGTTAAAAATGTTTATTAATTTATGATAAACTTATTAATCAATTTAATTAAAATGATATTACCTATTTTTTAAAACATAAGTGGCCATGTAAGATATAGGTGGGCTACATGAACATGGTAATGAGTGGAAATTCTACAACAAGCCTTCAAAACATGAATAATTGTATTCTTATAATGTGTACCCATTATTCTTGCACAGCGCCCCTGTTTACACCCTATGATATTCCTATATACCTACAAAATACAGTTGTAAACTACAATGATAATGGTCATACTGAATATCATTTACAAAAATATAATACAATAAACATAGTACAATCTTACATTTTTTAACGCCTCCTTTAAGTTATTATACTAATGTAGGAGATTGTTGATGTATATAATGTATCGAACCATAATGAAAATTGAAACGATATGTCATATATAAATATACATATATATATATATACAGGGTGATTAAAAATTTGAATATTCAAAATAGTGAAAAATATATAACACAAAAGTTTTTTGATTAAGAAACATATATTATGATTTTATAATTGTTTACAATATTTTATTTGGGTTTTGGGGAGTCAACTTTAAACATTCAAATGGAAACATTGGAAACCAATATTTTTTTTTAAATAGCTCTCAAGCATAGAGTTTTGCATTAATTAATGTTGTTCTTGTACTAAAAGGTATTTAAAAAATGTCTTCACATTATGTTTGCAAAAAAAATTATAAGTTCCCATTTGAATTTCTTAAGTTAACGTCCGAAAACCACCCTAAAAATTGTTAACAATTATAAAATTATGATATCATAAAAGATATTTCAAATCAAAACAATGTTGTATCATATATTTTTCACTATTTTGAATATTTATATGTGATCAAATGGCTGTAACATACAGTTTGAAACACCCTGTATATATATGTCTATGACATATATATTACATAAAATCAATAATAAAAATGAATAATACGAAGCGACAATGATGCTCAATAATACGTGTTATCTATTTTATATTTATTATAATATTATGTAGGGGAACATATGAGGAAATGACACCCATTGGGCAAGGTCGATCAGTGACATACCTAATAATCTTATCATATTTGATAGTTAATAATTAGATTTTCACGATACTTAAAAAGTAGGGATTTTATAAGAATTTTACAAATAAGCAAATACAGTGTACTCTCTATTATCCGCTGTCTTCCGCGTACCTATATGTATAAAAAAAATATGCATCTATTGTATCTTTCCATTATAAATCATTAAAGGTTTAGTTGGGTTCAAAAAACTTCAATCACGAGTTAAAAAGAAGAGTTTTTAAACGAAGAAGCAACAACTTGTGACTGATTTTTTTGCTTTTATAATTTTTATTAATTTTTCATTATATATACATGTGTATCTGTTTTAATAATATGTAATAATTATATCCAATTCAAAATTCCAATTTATTTTTTATTATAAAATTTAATTTTGAGGATTATCCACGGAATTTGTTAATCCGTGGATGTCTTGTCATCCTATAGGATAATTGAGAGTACACTGTATTTTGTTAAATATATCGTATTTTTATACTTGCCTATATTCACAAGCATAATATTGACAATATCCGTGAGTCTTGGAAAAATGAGAACCATTTCCCCAGACATCTCGATTTTAAAATTATACGTATTGTTGTTTAATCTAAAAACAATTTTAAGATTTCTTCGATATCGATTGTCTTATTTAAGGCCTAATATTACGAAGATTACAATATTATGTACTCATAATTCACGCATAAATGATATCGTTTTGAAGTAAATACATGTACCAATTTCAAAAAAACATGAATACTGGGTAATACACTTATACCAGCAAAAATTGAATGGGTAAGGCTGGTAATTTCAACTGAATATCATGACCCCGGTTCAGAGCGGTATTCAAAAATAAAATATTGCACTTTTGTATAACCTGAATCTTAGATACATAACTACCTAACAAGTTTAAAGTTCAAATTCAAGCAATTATTGGAATTTTAGATCCAAGTAACCTAGGACGTGCACCCTTTACGATCAGCTCAATGCGTATTCCTCAGAAAACGAGTGGTGATAGTTTCGTCGGATAGAAAGTGACATGGAAGATCGTCAAGACGAATCTCGCCCCAAATCCCAATTGACACCTGCACGTCATCACTATTATAATATACCTACTCACACACAGTACGATACAACGGTGAGTGACTGATTTATATTAAACCAAATATCAGCGAAATTCAGGCGGTCAAATGTTGTCTCAGCGCACAGCGAAATATACTAGGATAACGGTTGTGAAATGGTTGTGAAACGAACACGGAGTAAAACAGCCGCGCGTTGTCGTACAATTAGCGCACATATTATCTTTATGCACTAAAAAGTATCACAATATGATACTATATCTTACAATAAGAATCTTTTAATATGCAATAAATATGCAAAAAAAATGTTAAACATAAGTACCTATAGTGACAAAAAATAACTCAATTAGATCGTTTATTTGATAGTTATTAATTTTTAGGTAGATATAAAAATGATTAAAAATAAATTTAACAACTTAATTAGGAACCTACTATACACTACAAAATATTTTTTTAATGATAAAGTTTCACAAAATATTGAAAAAAAAATTCACTTTCTGTTAAAAACGATAAATACCTACAAAGTTTATTATTATTTGAATTATCTATTCGAAGAAATATTATTTTTACATCTATATTAGATTTTTTAATCTGTACTTAAATTAAGTTCAGTTCACTTCAATATTATATAAATATTAAATTGTACCGAATAAGCAGAAATATCAAACAAAATGGTTGTCATTAGCTTGAATTTATAACGATTCGTAAATATAACTGACAAAAATCCAAAAATATAAAAGACTAACTGGCCCCATGCTCTAGATAGATTTCAACTTTGTTCAATTTGTTATTTAATATTCTGTGTAATGGTGTATAAAACTAAAATATGGTCATTGGCCACTTTGAATCCCAAAATACTTGTGCAATATTCACTTTAAAGTGCGAATTTTGGAAAATCCTTTCTTAGTTCACACATACATCGTGGTACGAAGGTACAGTGCAAATTCCAAGCCCCGAGCTATCATTTTTCTTTGATCAGTCAGTTAGTTATTCAGAACAAGTGCGATTATACCTATATTATATTATATTATATTATAGCCATCCCACGGTATTCGTGGCGAGCTGATTGTTTTCCGGATTGTTTTCCTTCAGTCAGATATTTGTCATCCACAGCTTTTTCTTACTCTCCCAGTGGTTATGCGTTTCTCACTTCCATCACCTGTGCAAAATGCGAATGTATATTATTAATTATTTTTATACTTAGTCTTGTGAAATACGACGAAATCTCGGCCACGAATCTCGAACTGTGACCAGCTATTTGAAGACTATTACACATTGCATACTGATAGTATAATTTAATATTGTATATTTCAGTATTTGTACTGTGGTCTGTGGCGAAACGATAGTCTTGATCTCCGGCCCGACAATATGTCTTCCTCGGCGCACGGCGCAAAGTTCAAGGTAAGATGCACAAAGTCGCCTATATTATTTTTAGATTCCTTGTAGGAATTGAATAGGTATTATATATATATATATGCATATACAGTTGCAAACATCTAAATTCAACCGTTATTCAAAAATTATAATTTATTGTGATAATTATACAAATATGGATTTCTAAGTATGAAAAAACCCGAAGAAAACCTTGGTAAAATAATCTGCGTTTGATTAATGATGACAGATGTATGACAGTTTTTAGTACAGCACTACCATAAATTAAAAGTATTGTCGTGCATCACAGTCGGTTCGGCATTTTAGGGTAATGTAACTATAATGTGTGGGTACCAACGTTACTGTATAATCGGATATTCGGATGCATATAATTTGTATTAATAAAATTACCTATATACCTCAACTTAAACATA